CCGCCCGGCCCCCCCGCCTCCTCGCCCCCGGCCCGAGCGGCCGTCATCGCGGGCGGGCGGCGCTGCGCCCGGGTGCGGCTCATCGCCGGCAGCGGCGGCGACGCGGCCAGGCGGTGCGGGGCTCGCGCTGGCGGGACGCGGGGCGCTGCTGCTCCCAGGAGCCGCCAGGTGGGCGACGGGCGGGCCGTGGCAGCCGTCGCGCCCCTTCGCGCTGCCCCGGGCCCAGGCTCTGCGCGCTTCCCTTCTGGAGACTTCGACTCTCCGCCCGAGGTCGCTCCCCCCACGCCTCGGGCTCGGCCTCTCTCTCGGGGGCCCGCGGGGTCTCCGCTCGAGGTCTCAGCGCCTCGCGCCCCTCTAGCGGCTCCACGCCCTGCGCCCGCTGTCCCCGCTGCGCCCTCCTCGCCGGCTCTTCGCCCGATGTCTCGGTCTCGGCTGCACGGAGTCGGTGGCACGGCCTCGGTCGGTCTCGGTCTCGGTGGCTGCCGCCCGCGGGCTTTGTCTCTCCCGGCCTGGGGGCCCGGCGGCATCGCGCTTTCGGGCTCTCTGCACGGGCGCCGTCGTTCTCCGCCTCTCTCAGCTCGAGCCCATGTCCGGGTCCGACTCTGCCGGGCCGCGCCTCTGAGCTCGGGGCCCGGGTCCGGCCGATTTCCGTGCGTCTTGCCGTCCCCGACCCCCTGGCCGGGAGCCTCCGTCTCTCCAGGTTTTCTCTCAGTGTCTCTGTCACTCTCTCTGCCTGGGTATCTCCCAGATTTCTCTTGTCTCTCCGGTGTCTCGGTCTGTCTCTCGTCTATCACTGTGTCTCTGGCCTTGCGGTTGTCTCTCCCAGGTTTTCTCTTTGGGCCTCTGACAGTGTCTCTGATCTCTCTCTCTCTCTCTTTCGTTCTCTCTCTCCACCCGCCCCCCACTCTCTACCATCTCCCTAGCTCTCCGTCGTTCTCATCTCCCCCAGGTTTTCTCTGACTGGGCATCAATGTTTCTCTATCACTCTCGGATTTTCGTTGTCTCTGTTGCCCTGGGGAACTCTCTCCGTTAAGCAGCGTCTGTCGGTGTCTCTCGCTCTCTTTTCTGCCCATCTCTCGGTCTCTCTCAGACTCTGCCTCTGTCTCCCTCGTCCCTGTCCGATCCCCAGAGCGCTTGGGTCCCACTCTGACCGGGTTCGTTGGCATCTCCCCGGCGGGCGAGACAATCTCGTTTTCTCAGAATCGGGGTTTTGTTCTCAAACGAACGAATCTGGATCAAAGCGCATTTAATCCGAGAGTCCCAGGTCGGACGCGGCGGGGGGCCGCTCAGGAGGAGCCCCTGGGAGGGTTGGGGAGCTCACGGGGCGGAAGTGTGGGGACAGGGTCAGCAAGGGCCCTGCAGGGGAGCTGCTCCAGGCACACGTGCTGCGTGCTGCTCAGGGCGCTCTAATGGGTGGCCTGCAACGGGCGCCCTCGACCACTGGCGCTGTGGTGGGGGCCGGGGGCCGGGCCCATAAGGAAGGCACCCTGGGGCGCGCGGCCGCGGTGGTGCAGGACACGCCGGACCCAGGTCCGCGGCGCTGCCAGTCGCAGTCCCGCCCGCGATGAGCCTCTCCTCCCTCCACAGGCGGACGCCGCGGGCATGGACTATTCGTATGACGAGGACCTGGACGAGCTGTGCCCCGTCTGTGGGGACAAGGTGTCTGGCTACCACTACGGGCTGCTCACATGCGAGAGTTGCAAGGTGAGCGGGCAGCTGGCCGGCAAGGGACCGGCGTGGAAGGCTGGCGAGCAGCCGGCGGGAAGCGGCGGAAAGCCCTGCTGGGAAGTGCAGGGAAGGGGAGACGGGGCCTGTCCCCTCCCGCGCTGACTCCCCTCTCCCCCAGGGCTTCTTCAAGCGCACGGTGCAGAACAACAAGCACTACACGTGCACCGAGAGCCAGAGCTGCAAGATCGACAAGACACAGCGTAAGCGCTGTCCCTTCTGCCGCTTCCAGAAGTGCCTGACAGTGGGGATGCGCCTGGAAGGTGCGCACGCTGCGCCTCCTACCCCTGACCTCTGATGGCGAGGGGGCAGGGGGTGGGGGTGGGAGAAGGGGTGAGGGGAGGGTACCATAGGTCTTCTCAAAGTTTCTGGGGCCAGGCGATTAGCCTCTCATGTGACATTAGGGCCCTGATCTCTGTGGGGGAGGGGTGAGAACTGATGTCGGTCTGGGTGAAGGGATGCATGCAGGACCAGCCTGGGATGGCTTGAGAAGTATCTAAAAGTGAATCCCAGAGAGATGACCCTCTCCCCAGCCCTTGCAGGCAGGGCAGCACAGGGCAGAGCCCCACAGAGCTCCTCCCTCTGCCAGGAGTTCTGTCACACCCCCACTGACATCTCGTACCAGCCAGAGCCAAGGTTTTCAATACCTTTACTGGAGTTAAAGTCCCAGTGCCACCACTTACAGGCTGGGTGACATTGGGCAAGTTCCTTAACCTCTCTGAGCTGCAGACTCCCCATCTGAAAGACGGGCCTGGAACGTAGAAAATGCTCAACAAATTAGCTATTACTGTTATTCTTATTTATGTTATTATCTGTCCAGCATCACTGTGCAGCCTGCACTCACTCAGACCACCCATCTGTTCATCTGTCCATCCATCCACAAGATTCACTCAGTTATTCACTCAGCAGGTTCTTAGCCAGGCCCTAGAGGGCTGGGTAGTGGAGAGCAATCGCCCCCAGAGAACCCAGGCCCATCCTTGTCTCCCCACCCCCACCACAAGCTCTCTGTCCGGAGGGGAGGAAAAACGTTTTAGCAGGAAAAACTCAAACTCTTTGAGGGTGGACAGTCATAGGCTTCCACCCCGCTGGCCCCAGCCGGGCTGTGTGCCGAGCAGGCAGCTGTTGGTTAAAGTTTTTAAACAAAGTAGAAGGCCCCTGGTGGCTCTGAGAGCTGCAGGCCACAAGTCCTGTCACCTAGAGGAAGGGCCCCTGATGGAAGGGGGATATCCTGTCCTGTCCCAAGAGCCCATGTGCCCAGCACCAGGTCCTGAGGGGCTCAGAAAAACTGGTTGTTGTGAGCTGCAGAACCCCCTCACGGGGCCTGAGGGAGTGGAGCAGGGCTGCCCACCCCCATGGCAGGAAGATTGGCTGCATGGGCCCCGGAGACACATCCCTTGCTAAGCACGGCCCTCTCCCTCCTCCTCTCTCCCTTCTCCTGGAGCCCAGGGTGGGGTCCTGTGTGAGCAGGGGCTGGGGCCACACTTTGGCTGCAGAGACACACCTGTTGGGTCCAGCTGGTGACACATTCTTGGCCAGGTGGGGGGACATCTGGTCAGCAAGGGAGGTCCCTTCCCACCAGCATAGAGCCCCAGTCAGCCCTAAACTCAGCTTCAGATTTGAAGGCAGCGGCAGAAACCCGAGTCATTTTGCAACAGGGGTTCAACAGAGTCAGGCAGTCAGTCAAGAAGCAGCTGGACACTGGGGACCCACCTGTGAACAAGGCTGACCAGAGCCCACTTCCTGTCACCATCTCAGGCCCTATGCTGGGCACCTGAACCCACTGCTG